GGAATCTGAAAAACCACATACCTGCCCAGGGTTGGACAATGCTCAGAGAAAGATCAAGATCGTAAGCGCTCGCCTCCAGCTGAGCTTCACATTCTACGCAGACAGACAGTGAAGGCTAAGGCAGAGTTGACTGAGCATTGGAGGCATGCCCCAGCCCACACAGAGAGCCCGTCTGCAAAGTCCAGGAGGTTTGATTTGTTTTGTTTCAGCTCCAGGGGTGTTAGAGACTGTAGTGACCACACATAACAAAGAATACAGTCTTCACAAAAATAGTTTAGAAAACTCACTAAATAAAACTACAGCTCACAACAGGCAGCAACAACAAACCCTGGGGAAATTCTAACTTCCAGAGTTATCACATTACGATATTCAAAACGTCCAGTTTACAACAAAAAATTAAGAGGAATGCAGAGAAAGGATGCCCCATTCACAGGAAAAAAAAGGGGACTTAATAGAAATTTTCGCTGAGGACACCCAGACTTTGGACTTAATAGGCAAAAACTTTAATCAACTGTCTTAAATATGATCAAAGAATTGAAGGAAAGGAGAACAGCATCTCACCATAAAGAGGATGTCAATAAAGAGACAGAAATTATAAAAAGGGACCAAGTAGAAATTCTGGAACTGAAAAGTACAATAACTAGAGGAGTTCAACAGCAGATATAAAGAGGCAAAATGAAGAATCAGAAAACTTAAAGATAGGTTAATTGAGATTATCCAGTCTGAGGTGCAGAAAGAAAAAAAAATTAAGGAAAATGAGCAGAGACTAAGAAACCTTTTGGACACCATCAAATGGACCAACACATGCATAATGGGAGCCCAAAAGGAGAGGGGGAGGGAGGCAGAAAGAATATTTGAAGAAATACTGACACAAACTGCCCAAACTTGATGAAAGATATGAATCTATACATACAAAAAGCTCAATAAGTTCCAAGTAGGATAAACTTAAAAAGATCCACACTGAAACTCATTATAATTAAACTGTGAAGACAGAGAGAGAATCTTAAAAGTAGTGAGAGAGAAGTGGCTTGTCTGATTGATAGCCAATTTCTCATCAGAAACCATGAAAGCCAGAAGGCAGTAGGGTGACATATTTAAAGTAGTGAAAGGAAAATACTAGTAAGTTGTCAAATAAGAATTCTATATCTGACAAAATCATTCTTCAAAAATGAAAGACAAACTAAGACATTTCCAGACAAACAAAAGCTGAGTTTGTCATTTGTTGACTTGCCTTACAAGATATGCTAAAAGTAGTCAACTAAAATTAAAGAGCACTAGACAGTCATTCAAAGCCACAACAAATAAAGAAGCTTGGTAAAAGTAACCACATAGGTAATTATAAGCCAGATTATTGTTATTTTTGGTTTATAAATCATCTTTCCCCCATTTTTTTCCTATAGGATTTAAAAGACAAATGCATAAAACAACAATTACAAATCTGTGTTAATGGGCACACAGTATACAGAGATGTAATTTCTGATAATAACAATACAAAGAGAGGGATGGAGCTGTATAGGAGCAAAGTTTCTATATACTATTGAAGCTAAGTTGGTGTTAAGTCCCACTAGATTGTTATAAATGTAAGACATTATTTGCAAAGCCTAAGGTCACCACTAAAAAAAGTGTATATATACAGAAGAAGAAATGAGAAGAGAATCAAAACAGTACACTGGTGTGGGAGAGATCAATTAAACACAAAAGAAGGCAGTAATAGAGGAACTGAGGGGGAAATGATATGACCTATTAAAAACAGCAAAATGGCAGAAATAGATGGAAATGAATTAAACTCTCAAAAGGTTGAGGTTAGCAGAATAGGTTTAAAAATAAGATCCATTTATATGCTATCTACAAGAGACTCACTTTCCATCCAAAGATACAAATGGGCTGAAAGTGAAAGGGTAGAAAAAATATATTCTATGCAAATAATAACCAAAGAAGAGCTGTGATGGCTATGCTAATATCAGGCCAAGTGTATTTTAAGTCAAAAGTGTTACAAGAGACAAAGGACATTGTATTTTAATAAATGGGTCAATCCAACTGTTATCAACAGCCCACAAATTTATCTTCAAAATCCCCTTTGCCCAGGATGGCAAGCAAAGTACATCCAGTCCCTATGCTGGCCCCACCATGGAACCAGAACTCATATCCCACTGAGGCACAGCAGCCCTCACTGAGGTTCCTGAAGAAGGGGGTCATGTGCACCACGGATCTCTGGGTTCTTGCAAGCACCAGCTGACCTTGCTACCTGGGACTAGTCCCTCCTCCAGACATCTCAGTCCCCTATCTGCATGTGAGGGACTATCACAAAAGCCTTAGAGCCTTCCCCGACATCCCATCACCACCGCAGGCAGGGCAGAAGCCTCCCTCACCCCCAGGCACCCTCCCAACCCACTCCACCCCCTAGGACTCCTGCTATCACAGTTCCACTCATAGGCATCCTTGCTGTGCTTCTCCCACTTCAGTCTGGTAACTCCTCGAAGACTGGGAACAGTCAGTTTATCTCTGCATCCCTTGTGCCCAGCCTGGTACAGAGAAGAGGCCTAGTGCCACTTTGCTGGGTGGGTGAGTGAGAACTTGGCTGGAGGAGGTAGCTTTTGGCACGATAGGAATCTCCAGGCACCCCCACCCCACGCCTGAAGCTGTCAACACAACAGGTCTGCCCAGACTGCCCCAGGGCCCCTAGGAAAGAGCCCATGTTCTGAAGATGCCACCTAGCAGGGGCCATCTGACCCCCTTCCTGTGCCTGCTCCTATGTCACCTCCCTGTGCCCTGCATAGCTGTCCCCTCACCATCATGGCTCCCTGGCCTGTGTGGACCTGCACAGCTTATGTTTAAAATACTTGCTCTGGGCACCAGTCTCTTCACCTGTGATAAGCATGCAGCTCCCTACCTCACAACCCTATGGCAATACAGTAGATCCTGTGTAGAGAGCGCCTATGGACCAATGCGGGTGCTACTTTTGAAGAATTAGAACTCTCAACACATGAAAAGAATCTTCCATGTTTTGGATTATAAAAGCGTCTCCTGTGCCTGGTACACTGTGGGGTTCAGAAAGGTGTGTGGATCTCTGCAACGGAGTGTCTCCACATGGGGACACTCTACACATGGGAGAGAAGCATCGTCTCCTTTGAGGTTTCCTGAGATTTTTCTCCTAAATAAAGTGTGAGAGAGAAAAGATGGAGAATCCCCACGCACAGGAACACTACCAACGTGATTTTATTGGCAGTCATCACGCAGCTAACCTCTCATGAGCTGTCTAGCATCGGGTGGAGCGGTGTGTATGCACTATGTCATTTCACTCTCAACATCCCTTTAAAGTAGGTTCCATTGTCTGCCCTAGCCCCTCGGACCAAATGAGGGTGTAGTGACATTCATTCATTCAGCACAGAGCTCCATCTGTGAGTGGCCCGGGCCGGGCTGAGGAGACAGTGGGGAGCAGGAGCCCTCAACACCCCCACCCCATGAACCCCCCTCCCACTCCCACCCTATGAGCAGGGGAAGAAGGTGGAGTGACAGGACTACCAGGAGCAGAGCAGGGAAGGCTCCCAAAGGGAGTCATGACCACGGGGAGGGCTGAGGGGAGTCAGCCAGGAAAAGGGGACACAGAGGCAGGTGAAGGAAGCAGCGCTTTGATTGAATCCCTCAGGCATGTTATCTTCCCAACAACCATCCCAGGAAAGGAGGGTTTTGTCCTTGTTTTGCAGATGGGGAAACTGAGGTTCAGGAAGGCAAAGAACATGCCTGAAGTCCGCCCAAGACAGAGCCCAGTTGTGTGGGCTCTGCCTGTGGCACTGTCTGTGTAGCTGGCCGGCTCCTCAGAGTTGGGACCATTTCTAGGACCAAATAAGTATCAGAAATGTACTTTCTGTCTTGCTGTGTGAGGGGTGGACAAAGCCGGCGTTCACCTGCAGACACCTGCTCCCAGCAGAGGCTGCCGGCTCGGTGAGGTGGGCCAGTGCTCAGAGGGGACAGTCAGCCAGAGGTCTGCCTCAGAGGCCCCCGGAGGGCTGTGGGTGGCCCAAGCTCTCCCTCTGGGAGCTGCGTGTGCCCCTACCCGCCCAGCCCCAGCTGTAGCACGGGCCCTGGCACACCGCAAACACTCGGAGACAGTGACTTCCCTTCTTTTATTGGTCCTGGCTGTCCCTGATGGGCCTGTGAACAGACTCTCGGGCCAGGGGACCAAGGGGCTTCAGAGCAGGTCTTCAGTCCCAGGACACAAGACTGTCTATCCTGGTTCTGCCCTGATGCCTGCTTCTCATACACCCAGCCCACAAGCCCGCACAAAAGCACACAGCCTCAGAACAGGCTGCCCACTGGCTTCTGATGGTCCCAGAGGACACCCTGCCACCAGCCCTAAGGCCTGGGGCCAGGCCCACCTGGCTCAGGGCCCACATTCCTGGCTCTGGAGACCAGGAGCTCATTAGAGCCTCAGGCCGATCACGGGAAGAGCTAGGGGTCAGGGGCCACTGGAGCCCTGGGAAGGAAGCAGGACGGAAGGACTCAGCCAGAGAGGAGACAGCACCTCTGCTTCTTCCCCATATTACCCACGGGGGCTCCAGCTCCGGCCATGGCATCCTCAACTCACGGCCCCCAGTCAGGGTCAAGGTCCTTCCTAGTCTGGCATCCGTAAACTTGCTAAGTTCCTCTTCCCTTCCCCCAAGGGCTTTCCCATATTGGAACTTTGCACATGCTGTTCCACTGCCTGGAATGTCGGGCGGTTCAGAAATGCATGTAAATAAATAACTTCTACCCAGTGAGAAAGGGAAGTCCCAAAAGACAAATCAGAGGGAGTAATTCTAGACTGGGCCTGACAGGCAGGGAAGGTTTCATAGCTGGGTTTTGAAGCATAGATAGGAGTTTTCTGAAAGCAAGGATTGGGAAGGGCGTGCCACAGTTAAGCATATGCACGAGAGAATATGGGATGGGGTAAGATGAGCCACCCAACAGGGTTATTCCTGGCACAGAAGGATGAAGGCCAATGGGGTGCAGAGAGCACTCACCTGCTGAAGAATCACCATTGTCCTTTGTCAGAGGCGCCTGCTGCCCACCTGGCCAGACACAGTTCTGCAGGGAGAGATCATGTCAAACTTCTGAGCAGCCAGCTGTGTCAGCCTTGCACCTGGCATGGGTCACCTGGGCTCCTCCCAACGCCACAGCCGCTCCTGCCTCTGGGGAACCCTCCCTGGCTATCTCCCTCTCATTGCAGCCCAGGCTGTGTGACCTGAGCCTCAGCCACCATCACAGCTCTATTGTCCAGAGCAGCTGCTGTTATTCAGAGATTCCAAAAGGCTCCTAGGAGGTAGCAAGTCTGCACCCCTCACCTGGACATATGGGCAAAGGGGCCCAGAGAGGGACCAAGACTTGACTAAGTTCACACAGCTGGACAGGACAAGTCCAGGATGAGGACTTGGTCTCAGGCCTCCCAGCTGAGAGCTGCCCCAGGAGTGTGAGTGACAGGGGCAGCCTGGACCAAGGGGAGGGTCATGGGCTGAGCTGCCTAAATCCATCCAGAGCACCCACTGCCATCAGGATGGAGGCTCCATGACCCAGTCTGGCTTTTAAGGCCCAGCACCATGTGGCTCCTGCTGATGTCTCAGTCATCAGTTTTCTTCCTTCCCCAGCCCTGCACTGGGACCATCCTCAACACTCACTATTCTTGAAATGCACCACCCCTGTCCATACCTCCTGGCCTTGGCATACACTGGCTCCTCCACCTGGAATTCTGACTAGTAAATTCCTATGCTCAGTTCAGATGTTACCTCCTCTGGGAAGCCTTCCCTGACCACCCCCAGGCTGTGGAGAGTCCTATTTCCCTCTATCCATCCCTGATTATATGTATTATGTTATCCGGTTGGGGTCTGTCCCTACCTCTGACCCCAAAGTCAGAGAGTTGATCCAGGGCAGGGCATGGGTTCAGCCATCTCCTCACACAGCACAGGGCCAGGCCCGGAGAGGACTCAGGAAGGACTTGTGGGACTGAGTGTGGTGATTCAAGGCAGCCCCAGCCCACAGCCCTGGCACGCGGCCCTCCAGCCCCCCACCTGCCCCCAGGATGAGCATCAATTTTTCACAAGGCCCATTCAGAGGCACTGGGGCATCTGATCCTCTGCCCATGACACTCCTGACACCCGAGCCCTGACCCCTGCCTGGAGCTCTGGGACACAGCGGGCACACAGTCCTCCCGGAGACGGGCACTAGGCCTGGGTGTCTGGCAGGCAAGGCCACCAGGCAGCCGCCACGGGGGTTAGTCTGAAGAGGAAGCCTGGCTGCGTGCTAGCACCCTGAGCCAGCAGGAGCCCCGAGAGCCAGGGGTTTTCATTAAGACTCGGGGCCTTGGATGAGGGCATAGAAGTTAAGGGCCACCCATAAGGAAAATTTATAAGATCAACTTTTTTTTTTTCTAAAAAAAAGAACTAGTCCATGTTCAGGGTAATTGCTTTGCAGATTGAGAGCAGGGAACACAGAACTATTTCTATGCCGTCCCTGGGTTACTTCATCCTCACAGCAACCCTGGCTGGTGGCTTCATGGTCCCATTTCACAGATGGGAACTCTGAAGCTCAGAGGAAGGAAGTGACTTACCTGAGGAGAGAGATAAAGAAAGAGGTAAAATGTAGCAGAAAGGCCAAAGGAGACAGAGACAGGGACAGAGTCGGGACAGAGCTCGCTCTCTCTCTCTCTCTCTCTCTCTCTCCCACCCCCAGCACGGCTGCTCCCGGCCCCAGCCCTGGTCAGAGACAATTCAATGAGCACCATGCCCCTGGCTCTTCCCATCCCAGGGTCCCAGCCTCCATCTCGCCAGGCTCGGGGCAGTTTCATTCGATGGCTGCTGTGGCTGAGCCCCCAAAGGTGGCAGGAGGCCCAGACCGGGAGCAAATGGCTGTGGTCACAGGGGCTCCAGGGTGGCCCGAGCCCAGGACACCCTCCGAAGTCCAGCAAACCCTCCTCCCGACGCCCAGGACAGGGGCAGCCCTTGCTTACCTGGCTCCCAGCTGCCACCCGCACGGGGGCCCCGGGAAGCTGGGGTCAAAGGTCTGGCACAATCTGTAGACACGTCCCCTCTTCCTCTGTCTTGCTCCAAAACTTGCTCTGGGGGCCTCTCTGGGCCTTTCGGTTTTTCACTATGTGACTCCCTCTCCCTCTCAGGCTCTCCCTCTCTTTCCTGCCCAGGTCGGCTGTCCAGCCGCACTGCTGCCCTCTCCTCCCCTCTCCAGAGCCTTCCCCCAGGAGGCGGAGTCCGAGGGGCCTGGAGGCCTGGGTGCCATGACATCAGCGTGGGGGGCGGGCTGTGCCGCCCAGGGCCCTGAGCAGAGCGCTGGCTGCCCAGAGGGAGGCAGGGCAAGGGGTCTCTCTCGCTGTGCTGGGACCAGCTTGGACCCGGGCTATGACCACTCTTCCGGCCTCAGGTGCCTCCTATCATTCGCAGTAACAACACCTGCTCCCTCAGCACGGGCAGGATTTGCTGAGTCCTGGCCCCTGCCTCCCTCCGCCAAACCTGTTTTCTCCTCCATAAGTGGCTGTTTGAGACTCTGAGAGGAAATGAATGCAAGCCCCACGTTCTAGCCCTTTCTCCCTCATCCCTGTGCACACAGCCTTGCCCCCGGCCCCGCCCTGAGGGCTCCCCTCAGATGTGTCGTCTCCCCCCCCCGCAAGCTCCTCACCTCACCACACCCCACAGCTGCTGGGGAGGAGAGGCAGGAGGCTGTCTGTGATCACGCAGGAAACTTTCTCAGCCCAGCATGAGCCGGGCACATGCAGAGCAAGGTGAACCGTGTGATTTTAAAGTGGGGGGACGGAGGGAGGGAAAGGGGGGACAGATAAGCAAGGAGGAGCCCAGTGTTCATTGTTAGCACTGGAAAGACAGTAACAGGGGACCCCGGCTGAGTCCTGGCACTTCCTCGCCATCACCCTTGGCCTGGAGCCACCCGGCAGCTGCCCCCTCAGTGCGGCCTCTTCAGGGGCAGCTCTTGGCCTGGGCGGAGGGAGGGCTCTTTGGATGCCCAGCCGCTGTACCTGGGCAGGCCGGGACCACTCCAAAGCTGGGGTGCCCATCCGCCAGGATCCAGTGGTCCAAGTGCGCCACCTGCTGGCACAGGCGTGGCTGCCCATGGCGCCCCTGGGGAGCCAGGCTGAGCATCCAGCTCCGCCTGGAGAAGCGACGCAGGGGGGACTCAGCCGCTCCAGAGGCCAGGACTTCCTCTGACCCCACAGTCCTGGCTCCTGCCTGGCCAGGCGGCCCTCGCAGGACCTGCTCTGGAACACGGTCCCCACTCCTAGACTCGGACCTACCACGCCTCCATCACCTCCTCCCTGAGCCAGGCTGGGCAGGCAAGAGCGTCAGCCCTGCACAGATGGGAAAACTGGGCCCCCTAAGGCCCACGGTGCGAGCTGTAAGGGGTGGGCGAGGCGCGGTGGGGAGCTGGGGAGGGGTGATCTCCAGATGCCACAAGGCATTCAGCACCCGCTAAGGGCCAGGCTGTGCTGAGGTGGGCACAAAATTCATAATGTCCTTTTCTCCATGGCCCATGGGGGAAATCTAGGGATTGGCCTTAATGCATTTGTGTTTCTCACTCTTCACCCCAACCGAGCCCAGTGGACTGAGTTCTGTCCACTCTACCTCCACAATCTGTCCTGTTTCTCCCCACCACCACCACCCCTGGCTTCTTGGTTCAAGCTGCTCGCTCTGGTCTCCCCATCCACCTGCACCCCCATAAGCCCATCTCCTCTGTCTGAGGCCCTTTATGCGGCTGCTCCCTCCATCTCACAATTGGAGCAGAACTAACCTTCCTTCCCCCACAACTCCCACACCACCTTACCGGGAATTCTCTGTGGGACCTTGGTCCAGATCAGAGTGTCTCTACTGGTCTTCCCACTAGAGCAGGGGCTGTGGCTGGTCCCCTGCATCCCTAGTGCCTTGGACAAGGCCAGCTGAGGGAATAACTGAATGACCCCAGTGACCTCAGCTCAGAGATGCAACGGGCAGGCAGCGGGGTCCAGCCTCGGCTAGAACTCCAGGTCCTCCCTCACGTTGTCTCTGACCAGAGGACAGGCACCAGGGCCTGAGAAATATTCTCTCCATTATCCCTAACCCCCAGAGGGACAGACTGACGCAGGATGGTCTGAGATTGTGGTAACGTTTATTATGAGAACAGAACAGGTCTCCCTGGCCCACGGTGGGCCCTGAGGGGAGTGAAGCCCGGATGGGGTGGTGTGGACCGGAGGCCCGGCCCATCTGCAAACGCACAGGCCCCTGTGGACTGAGGGTGCATCAGGCACACGGAGCAACGGTTCTCCCCACCCACCCTCCAGCCCCAGCCCAGAACTCCAACCTCCCCTGCCCCATCCCCAACCAGGGTCCTCCACACATCCAGGATCCAGCCTGGCCCACCCGAGGAGCAGAAAGCAAGGGCAGGGCTGCCGCACATCCTGTTGGGGGGCAGGGCTGGAGCCCACAGGCCTGCCAGTTGGTCCTGGTTCGACCCAGGGCCCAGGTGGATGTAGCTGAGAACAGACCCACGTGGGCTCCTCCGGCCCTTGCTTCTCCACCCTGACTCAGGAGTGTTCATTGGAAATAGACATTGAGAAGTGATTACATGAGTGTACAGTGTGCACGCATACAGATACACAGAGAACGGTGTTGCCCTTATCCAGCACTTGTTAGCGAGAGTGCTGGCAAACAGGAGTCAGTGGCCCCGCGTGGCAGAGGGGCAATCGAGGCACAGGAGGGTGAATGGTTTGCTCCTGGTCATCGGGAGGGTCCTGGCCCCGGGCCAGGCTCTCGAGAGGAAGCCGCCGCTTGCCCAGGAATCTTGTCCTCCTTGTTGTGCAGTTCCTGGCCCTCATGTGGCCCAGGGCCCCGACGCAGGAGCAGAGCTGGCCACAGGGTGAGGAGGCAAAGTCAAGGATCCAGCGCCTCCAGCCAGGACACTGGACCAAAGAGCCAGGACACGGAGCCGGAAATCCAGGCTTCCAAAGGACTTCCCAGCCAGCAAGCCCACAGGACCTCCTGTTCTGGAACCAGCTGAACGTTTTCATTTACGTTGCCTGGTCTGGCGCCCGAGAAGGGTTGCAGAGAGACCCTACGCGGGTCACAGCGCCCACACGATTGGTGCCGACAGTACAAACACCCTCTTCTTCATCCCCCTCCAGACCCCTTCTGAGAAAGGGTGGCTTCTCCTCATCCCTCCCCAAGTGGAATCAAAATAAAATCGGCCCAGCCGGTGTGGCTCAGCGGTCGAGTGTCAGCCCAGGAACCAAGAGGTCACTGGTTCAATTCCTAGTCAGGACACATGCCCAGGTTGTGGGCTTGATCCCCCCAGTAGGGGGCGTGCAGGAGGCAGCCGATCGATGATGTTTCTCTTTCATCGATGTTTCTATCCCTCTATCCCTCTCCCTTCCTCTCTATCTAAAAAACACACACACAAAAATCAATAAAAACATATAAAAATAAAACCAGAGGACCACAAGAACTGGAGTTGAAGAAGAGAAAAGGGGTGCACAGGCTTCTAAAACCCCTGGTTAAAACTGAGAGTTTTAAAACAGAAAGAATATAAAATGTTGAGGACTGAAAGGAACATTTTGGTCCGGGCAGCAAGAAGAGGGCTGTGGCCTCCCTGGCTGCATTTGGGGGGAATGTTGGCGGAGAGCCTCTGGTCTGGTGATGGGTTTCCCTCTCTCCTGCCAAGCCCTGACGCCAACAACCTGGAGCCCCTTCTCCCAGGAAATCCCAGTGCTTGCAGCAAAGGGGGTCCTGAGAATATGTCCCCCCACCCCCACTTGCGTCCACATGTCCTCCTTACACGCCTGGCCCCTGGCCACCAAACTGGGCACACGCCTTCTGGGACCAGGGCCGTGGAGACAGGAAGACGGCCTTCCTTTCCATCACTGACGAAACCTCTGGGGCAGGGGGGGAGCCTTAAACCAGAGGCTGGGGATGAAATCAACACGGGGTGAGACGGTAGCCGCAGCTCTCTGGGCATCCAACCACTTGCCAGAGAGGACCTCGGAGCAGAGCTGCGGCCCAGCATGGACGCCAGGTCTCCCAGAGCTGTGGGCAGGGGCCCAGCTCCCCCTGGGGTCTTCTGGGGTCGCTTACTCACTTGGCAAATCTCTTGAAGAAATGAAGGGATGGGAAGGTGGATGGAATTCGAGAATGAACAGATGTCACCTGCATGTTCCCAAATTCCAGCCGGAGCAGGAGCCCAGCCGAGGCCACGAGCCCTTTCAAGGTGGCCAGAAAGTCAAGTTTTGGTGACAGAGAAAGCGATGTCCGGGGCACGGGGGCCGTTGCAGGAATTGGGGCAAGAGTGGGGCTCGGGGGATGGCAGTTTGTGTGTAAACAAGTGGCATCTTGGCACTCCGTGGGCTGACAGCAGGGCCTTGGGGAAACATTTTCAACGGACAGAGTCCCTTAGCCTTGGGAACAGCTGGGGAAGGGAGGGCTATTTAAATCTCAGGCAAGAAGACTTCTCCGTGAGAAAGGAATGCTGTGGGGTCCTCAGGACACTGAGGCCCAGAGAGGGCCAGAGACCCCCCACGGTCACACAGCGCGTCAGTGGAAAAGTTGGGAAAAGGACCCCGGCGTCCTAGCTCCCAGGCTAATCCCTGGCAGGGGACATGCAGACGGTGGTGAGAACTGTGGGGGCCAGGTAGGCGGACGGGCATCAGACAGCCGTGAGGGTGGCGCTGCTGAGGATGCGCACGGCAATGGTGCCCGGCAGGTCGCTGGGCTGCCGGCTGTCTCGGTCCCGGAGGTGGAGGGTGTGCAGGGCCTGGAGGTCGTCGGGGTCAGCCTTCAGCTGCACCTGGCCCAGGAACTCATCCTTCAGGACTCGGTGGTTCCAGATCTGGGGGAGACAGAGGGACATGGGGGCCATCTCCACGGATAGGTCTGTGGGGGCCGCTGGCAGTTCTGGCAGGGCCTCGATCCCGCCCTTCATTGCCTCTGCCTCCCCATGAAGCCTGCCCTTCCCAGAGCCTCGGCTTCCTCCTCTGTCCAAGCCCCTTCCACATATAAGGTTAAGTGTGTTACTATTAGCTCTGTGTGACCTTGGAGGCTGGGTGACCTTGAAGAGTGATATACTCACCCCCTGCCTGTTGGCCCCATCTTTAAAATGAGTGGCCCCACCCTAACCAGTTTGGCTCAGTGGATAGAGCGTCGGCCTGCAGACTCAAGGGTCCCAGGTTCGATTCCGGTCAAGGGCATGTACCTTGGTTGCAGGCACATCCCCAGTAGGGGGTGTGCAGGAGGCAGCTGATCGATGTTTCTCTCTCATTGATGTTTCTAACTCTCTATCCCTCTCCCTTCCTCTCTGTAAAAATCTATCTATCTATATATATATATATAAAATGAGTGGCCCCTACAGTCCTTCTTGCCCAACATCTGTAGGTCTGTGTTGGATCGGGGTTAGGAACATTCGGAAAACCTGCAGTGCCTCCCCTTCAGGGGCTGCCTAAGTGTTCATTTTTAAAGATAGTTTCTCACCAGACATGCTGGCCTGGGCCCAGGGGACAGAGGGCTTCCTGCTAATGAGCTCAGGATGGTCATCCACTGGCCACCTTGGTCTGGGAGGACAAGGAAGCCCAGGCACAGGGACTGGCTCTCTGACCCCTGCCCTCTGACCTGCCACGCGCCACTTCAGTGCCACGTTTCCAGGTGAGCCCCCTGCAGGGGGTTTAAGGAACCACTCCCCAGGCTTTGGGGCGAAGTCGGCAGAGATGGCCACTGCCCCTGGCCAGACCCTGCTGGGGCTCAGAATCACAGCAGCTGAGCTAACTCCCCACCCCGCTGAGGGGACTCTGGGGCACCAGGAGGGGCAGGCGAGAGAATTCCCAAGGCCACACTGTGCCAGGGACAGAGTGGGAACCAGCACCGAGCATTCCTGGGTCCCGTCAAAGGCTCTGCCACCCTGGGCTCAGCCCCTCTGCACGGGGAAGTGTCAGGCTAGGGGCACAGGAGGGGCCCCAGGACCCGTGGGCTCACCTGGACAGTGATGGGCTGGCCTGGCTTTTTGCGGTAGAAGATGCCTTTTACATCGTACTCAGGCGTCGAGGTACCCTTCTGCATGGCTGAGTGGACTTTGTGCCCCTCACACTTGATGATCACATAAGAGTTAGCCCCTAGAGAGGTGGAGGGGGTGATGGGGTGAGGATGGGGGGCTAGGGCTGGGCCTGGATGGAACAGATATCTGGAGGTGAGGTCCTCTCCCCAGAGCAGAAGCCTGGGCTCATGTATTCAAGAGGAGGCAGACCAGGAGGGGACACACCGGTCATCTCTGGCCTCCAGGCCTTTACCCATGTTGTTCTGTCCAGAGCATCCTTCCGCCCTAGTCCATTTCACCAGGCTTCGCACCTTAACACCTCCTCAGCCTGGAGAAAGGCCACTCCCTTCAGGAAGCCCTCCCTCCCAGCGGCCTGTCCCCAAGCCCCAGTGCCCCCCTCACTAGAGGCCTCCCAAGAGTAGGAGGCTGAGTGTCCCTCTCTATGCACCCAGCTTCCTCCCGGGGGTGGGCCTGAGTGGACGTCAGGAAACGTTTGCTCATTCATGATCGAGGGCAGGGGAGCTCTGGAGGCTGGGCGTCTTCAGCGGGGGAGGGGAGGAGACATGGGCAACCTCCCAGGGGAGGAGGGAGGGGGGCTTTCCTCGAGCCAGCGCACCTGTCGGGGAGTCCTTGAGACCAGCAGCCCCCAGGACATGCACCTGGGTCACCAGCTGGGGGTAGCCGCACAGGGAGCTCCAGCAAGAGCGGGGCGGCTCATCCAGGCACAGCTCCCTGGGACAGGGCAGAGGAGAAGAGGCGGGAGGTCACGGAGGGGGGTCAGGAAGATGGAGGACAAGGGGGTTCAAGAAGAGGGGAGGGGAGAGGAGCAGTATTTAGTCCAGGCGTTGTTCGTCCTGGGCAAACTCCCTGGGCTTCCTGCTGCTCTATCCCCACCTAAGGGTGCCCCATCCGTCCCCAAGGGAAAAGCAATTTACTGAGCACCTACTGTGTGCCAAGCCCTCTGCTGGGATGTTATAGGAATTATTTCTAATCCCCACAAAGCCCCGGAAGGTAGGTGACTATTATGCCCATTTTACAGATTGGGAGGCATCAGGCTCAGCAGGGAAGGGACCTGCCCGCCAGCTGGGGGAGCCCAGGCTGGCAGGACCGAGGCCCACTGGGCCCACCACACCACACGAGCTGGCCCCGGGCGTGGGATGTGGGCAGGCAGCACCGAATCTGGGCTGCCTACCACGGTGGAGGGCAGTGTGGGGCCCACAGGGTCTGCACCCCCGCAGGGATGGGATGGCTCAGCAGTCTACCTAGCCCGACGCGAGATCTTGGAAAACATCCCCAACCTCAATCCCCAGTTCTGATCCATAAAACGAAGGGGTCAGGCCTCCTAGTCCAGGTTGGAGAGAAGCAGATGGGACGAGTAAAAGCTTCTTTGAAAACTGTGAAGAGCTATGCTCCGATGAGAAGCTGTGCCATTATGTGGCTGAGAGAGGCTAGAACAAGGTCGCAGGGGAAGGGAGAGGAAGGAGACAGGCGCTGGGGTGGCTGGAGGCCTGGGCTCTATGCCGGGCAGACACTGAGCATCTCTGGGTCAGGTTCTGGGCCAGGCTGGTGCGGATCTCGGCCCCACCCACCCACCTACCCACCCACCCACCCACCACCCTGGGCCCGAGCCGGGCCCTGCGCACCGGCAGTTGGAGGGCACGTCAGTGAAGACTCGGAGCAGGAACTCGCCAGTGTGGCCTGGCTCGAAGGTGGTGGGGATGATGACGTAGCGCCCCGCCCGCTGGTCCGTGCGCAGGAAGACGCTGCGTGAGTTGATGTAGATGGAGCTGGCGGCCCTGTGCTGCAGGCTGTGCATCCGGTACTGGCGGTTCTCCTCCACCTGCAGGCAGCAGAGGTCACACAGAGCCCCCAGCCCCACCCCATCCCACCCCACATCTCACATCTCTCCCTCACCACCGTGCAAAAGAGTAACAGAACCACTCACATGGAATGCCCAGAACAGGCACATCTACAGAGACAGAGCAGACGAGTGTTTGCCTAGAGCTGGGAGGGCTGGGTGCATGGGACCGGCTGATGGTGACTAAAGGGTATGGGGTGATGAAATGTTCTAAAATCGATGTGGTGATGGTTGCAGAGCTCTATGGACACAATAACATCACTGCACACTTTAAATGGCCGAATGGTATGGGATGTGAGTCGGGGGCAAGAGGAATCCCCGATAACGATGTCTGTGGGGATTCTGACCATCATATCCGCCCAGGGCACAGCCGGTGTCCATGAAGGGACATCGCCAGCCGGTAGGACAAGCTAGCCATCGATAAGCTACAGTCACGTCAGTGAGGGCCAGACACGTCACGTCAAAGTCACAGCACATCAGCACACAGTGAATGGACAACACAACGACATGAACGAAGTGTCATGACCAGCATGTCAAATGCCAGGGACTCGACTCAGACCACACGCCCAGCATATCCACGTGGTGTCACTAGGCTCTCGGCGTCTGGCTCTACGCTGAGTGTCATCACCCACTGAGCGTCACGCTATGTGGAAGGTACCCGGATCCCGGCCCAGGAGAGTGGCACTGGTGAGCCTGCCTGGCTCTGCTCAGGTGCCTCCTCCCTGTGCCCAGCAAAGCCTCAATTCAGCGGGACCCAGA